CAAATGTTCCCAAGGCTCAGTTTGGAAAGAATATAAATACAAATATGTAGAGTGCAAAATCATGCATTTTATATTATTTTACATGTAGTTTTACTCTTCCCAAACTGAACCCATGGGAATTGGCAACTAGTAGGTGCATTCCCAATTTCCTATCGGGTGACCAAAGTGCTAATTACATAAAGGGTCAATTACTTAAATACCTCTTGTTTATAATTTCACAATTTATTAAAATATATTTATAGTTTGCATTTTATTAAAACAGCCCTTACAGTTCTCAATCGTTTTACTTAATCAACCTTATATTAATAACTATTTGCATTGTCATCTATGAATGGTCATACCATAAGTAGGGGTGATCATGGGTTGGGCCCGGGCCAGGCTTTTCACTTATGATAAGGGTTATAGCTTAGGCCCGGGCCCGGCCTGGCCCGGAGTTCTGGGCCTGTAACATAAGCCCTAGCCCAGGTCTACATGGACCCGGGCCAGACTAGGCCTAATTCCGGGCCAATGTCTTTTATACATAAAACATTATATATCTATAATATTTTATATTAAATGACATAACATACATATAAAATTTTATTTTATATATTATATAATATAAAATATTATATATAATATATATTATACATATCATGTTATAATATTTACATATAAAATATATAATATAATGTAAAATAGCATATATAAATATGTATACATTATACACAAAATGTACAGATTTAAATATATGTGAGCCGGGCTTGAAGTATTAAGCCCAAGCCCAGCCCTAAAACTTATGGGCCTGATATGGGCTCGGGCCCAGGCCGGGCCTAAACACAAAACCCAGGCCCAAGCCTAAAATTTCCGAACTGGACTTGTGCAGGCCGAGCCAGGCCGGGCTGAAATGATCACCCCTAACCATAAGCTGAGTGAAAAATGTATGATTGAGGCATCATGTTTCTGCTAGGTAGTATTTTTTTTAGCTTCATATTTTGTTCAATAATAATTGATTCAGAGTGTAAACAACATACACCCTAATTTAAGATGAAGAAGAGATATCAATCGTAGTGATTTTCTCCTATACATGATCCATATTTGTAAGCAACAGTTGGATTGCATCAATTAGAATTGTAACGTTACTGTAAGTGTGTAAGGTCTCTTCATCATTTTGTTGACGTGGTGAGAAAGTTTGCCCACATTTTAGCAGGAACAAAAATAACATTTTCATTTCTTTTTTATTTTCTTTTGACAATTTGTTAAAATGGGAATTAGGGTTAAAACCGTCATTTTAAATTTCAATCCAAGAAACATCAGTATTCAATCAATTCAAATCGATTACAAACGTGAAACGTGTGTTTTAGTAAATGACCCTTATTATAAATAAAGGGGATGTTATTGTTATATTATATATAAGTGGGATAGGAATGGTGTTTTTGATAAATCCAAATGAAGACTGGTAAAAGGGGTTTCATTTAGAAGTGTAAATCAGGTTGTGCCGCCCGCAACCCAGCACGAACATGGACCAACTCGGCATGGCCCTGCACGACGGTCTGCGGGCCATGTTGGGCTTGGGATTTTAGGTCCACAGGCCAGTACAACATGACACGACCACGGGTTGGCACGGCTCATATATATATTTTATATATGTTTATATATATTTTGTATATATTATAATTATATAATAATATATAGTATATAATATATTACTAAAATAAATATTTTTTAAATTTTATTGTACTAATTTATTTAATTATTGTATATATAAACAATTTTATACACAAAATTCATATAAAATTAAAATTTTGTTTTTTATCAATTTTTTTAAATAAATAACTTTGACCCGATATACAACTCAACCCGACCCAAAGCTCAGCCCACAAACCAGCCCAGCCCATAACACGGCACGGCACAGACCCACATGAGCTCGGGCCATGGGCTATACTGGCCGACCCCTAAATTTTTCACTAGAGAAGATGGAACGGCCCACTTTACACCTCTAGTTCCATTCTATTTCCAATTTTAACACTCTAGATGTGATGTGCACTGTGAGAGGAAATATTGTGGGAGGTGATGATAGGGTCGGATCGGGTAAAGTTATCGGTCAGATCAGTAGATCTCTACCAAAAGCAAACTAGATTGCATGCTATTGACCTATATATATAGGGGGACTGGGGGAGTAACTAGCTAGAGCCTAGATGCAAGGGTTCTTTCTCAAAATTCTTACTTGTAACACTGAGCCAGTCATGACATGCCACGTTATCAACGTACACGTGGGTCCCACGTGTCAGGCTGATGTACCGTAACACGATTGGCCCACTATCTTCCTGCTGGTTCCCTAGAGGATTCGAAGTGATGAAGGGGGACTACTGGGGAAGAAAAAAAAATACTGCAATTAATCAGGGTCTATGGCTTGTGTTGTCAGTGCAAAACAAGTACACTCCAAACCGGATAAAAGGCAGTTTTGGCGGATTAACGGTGGTTGGATGAATAGATGGCATCGATGAACCTCTTTAGCTATGGCTAGCTGCCCTGGTTGGTGATGCAGATTACAGAAGAAGGGGTTGGTTTTATCCATACACAACACTGCTCAGTGGAATCGTAGTCAATAAAGAAAAGGAATTGGGATGCGTTTGGTTGGGATGGCTGGACCACCACCACCACTTGTAGACTTTGAGAGGGAGCTAGGGGACAATTAGAGGTTAATAGTGTGGTAGCTAGACTTCATGGGAGAAGCCATGTTTCATTCATAGGACGGCTTCTTGGTGGGTTTGGTTTTCCTATGTATCTCAAAATTTTTTGAATTTTGAGCTAGAGGTTGTTCAAATGTTGGCCTGTTTGGGGTCTGTCTTACTTTATTATTTTCTTTTTTTTTCTCTGTCAATCTTCATTATAATATTATTACTTAACATTATCTGGCAGATATAAAGATATTAATGGTATAAAACACTGGATCAATCCCAACCCTTTTCCTTCTTTATTTTTTCTTTTTAGAGAGAGAGAGAGAGGGGGGGGGGAAGGATTGAATTAGCACTTCATTCCCACTTGTGTTTTGTGGCTTTTGAGGAATGTTTTATTTATAATTGTTCTGATTACTGTTGTTAAGATGAGGGTTAATATATAGGCTTCTGTTTCCCAGCTTTGTTTAACACATCTGCAGCCTGTGCATGCATGCAGTATAGATCCTACAGTATGTACACGTGGCACATGGATTTGTACTTATTATTTTATTATTCCGTTTGTCGGTCCAAGCCGACAAGATTGGCTTGTCTCGGAAAACGGTGAAATGGGTCCCACAGAATCCAACGAGCCATGTAACATCATGATTAGTCAGCACGTACCATTGTATTGTGCAGACAGAAAATAAGAGAGAGAGATGGGAGGTGGGATTTTGATACTTCAATTCGGTGACTACTTGATTTTCTTTTCAATATTCAACATTCAAGGGAGAAAGAGAGATGTTTGGTCCAGGTAAATTAAAGCAAATGCCAACTTAGAATTAGGGGGGGGGGGGAGATAATCAGATATCATAAGTAATAATAATATATTAATTAAATGTGTGATAGTAGAGAATATAGAAGGAGAGACAGAGCAGCGTAGTATGATGATGTGTGGTGGGTTGTCTGTCTCGGGTCGATGGTTGTTTGTTGGTCGTAGTTTACAAAGCGAATGGAGGGAGAGCATCTTTGGGAAAGCGGTAGTCTTCCCGTTGGTCGAACGACGGACACCAATTCCTAGATGATCTGATTCTTTTGACAGACATGGTTTTGAATCTTTGAGTGGATCGAATGGATCAACATGAGGAGAAGGGAGATGATTTGTTCCAAGCTTGGCGATGGCGATGGCGATGATGGGGTTTTGGGTTCACTTTATTGTTTTTATTTTTATTTCTTAGCTTTTCTTTTTTTAGGGAATGGTTTTTGGTTGCCTTTAATTTTCTTTTTATTTCTTCCTTTGACTCGACTCGACTCAAGAAGCAGATTTTCTTTGTTTCTTTTTTTCGCAAAACCCATAAGCAGAGAGAGAGGGCTTGTTGCTTTGATGATTGCAGAGTATATTTCGTCTCGACACTTTTGTTTTTTCGCTTTCCAATCAAAATCTCCGGATCTTCCATTATCCCAGCCTGTGATGTGATGAAGTCTATACTATAGATTCGTGGTTGAGGTGGCGATGATGACCAACTGACCGACTTAATTACTTTGATATGGGATGAGAGATGTATCCACTCACGTGATTATACCGTACGGTGTATCATAGTTGTTGTAGGAGGGCTTCACTCTCTCATCAACTGGTACTGGTGGTGCTGGATCGAGGAGGAGGAGTACTACGTACTGAAAGAAAAGTCTGAACACTGATGAAGAGAAGGCCGTGACAATGACCAACTGATGAGGCCTCGACAAAAACGATCGACCGACCGAGGATATATCGATTAATGGTAGAAAGGGAGTGTTGTTGTTATAGTGTTGGAGACGAGAGAGAGAGAGAGAGAGAGAATTGGGCTGAAGCCTGAAAGTGAAAAAGGGTGGTGGGTCGATAGTTTACTGGATAGCAATAGCATCAGTGCATCACCATATATAGATGATATACAGATATACTGGGACTGACATGTAGAGAGAAAGATGGACAGAGACAGAGACAGAGAGACTCAGACTCTCAGACTCTGTGAGAGAAGAGAGAGAGAGATTACATACATACATCCAATACAATACGATACATGGACATGGAATCGTGGATGCATATTTGAGTCCCTTTTCCTTGGGAGGCTGGCAGTGACAGAGCAGAGATACGGATACGGACAGAGGTTTGATGTCGTCGTTTGAGGCTACGCCTCGTGATCGGAGAAGGCAGATCCCTGGAAGACTGTTCCCAGAGTCACGTGGGTTCTTTTGACTACCCAATGACCAACCCATCTGCCTCTCTGACTCGCATTGTTTGCTGCGCCTCTTCTCTCTCCTGCTCTCAAAAGTGTATAAATTGAGTGAGAGTGTGAGAGAGATCTACCACTACTACTACAACTACAACTGCAGTAGTAAGTAGTACCAGTAGGAGAGGAGAGCACACTACTCACTACTCCGCAATCAAAACAGGGAAGACCAAATTCATCCACATCCACACCGCACAGAGACTGACTGTGACTCACTCACTCACTGACCAACTGACTCGTCTCTGTCTCTGCTGGATATATATACACGCACACATGTAATCCAGTACTTCTCTTTTCTCTGTCTATCCTATCTAGTCTCTACATCTCTATCCTTTATTTATTTATTCATTAAACTAAATCTCTATCTGCGATTGACGACAACGTGGACTGCAAGTGCTGACTGGTCTTCCGCCATTACATTAGCTTTTGAAGCTAGGAGACAACACCCATCTCAGGCTCTCAGCCCTCTCGTACACTCCCACCCTCTCTTCCAAGCATTTTTCAAGGATTAGATTATTACATTATCTGTCTCTCACTGTATCGCTTGCTTGTACTCCCAACTCTCAGTCTCTCACTACCATATATATCTTAACTACAAATACTTCAGTTCTCATTTTCTCTTGGTATTCTAGTACTCATTCATTCCCATTCTCCATTCATATTTCACAATCTCCATTATAATGCAAACCCGTCTTACCTCTCTTTCTGTACTTTGAACTTTTAAGGCTCTTAGAAGAACACCCATCAACCCAATAGACACAGAAAGAGAAATAGAAAGTAAACAAGAGATGCATCGGTGCAGCAGCCCTCACTGCAATTCAGTTGGACCGTGCTCGTGTGGTGTGTTCCACCCTCAAGGTAGCTCCTTCTCTATGTTATTCTCCATGGCAAACCACAAGCCAATCGATGAAATCGACGCCTACTCCATCACATCGTCTTCAGCTTCTGTGGACTGCACTCTCTCGTTAGGAACACCATCCACCCGCCAAACGGAGGACAAATCGATTGGCCACCACCGGCGGTCTGGCTCGTGTATGTCTAATCTATGCTGGGACATATTTCAGACCAAGCAGCCGCCTCCATCAGCGATGACCCATAAGAGCAGCCGAGGAGGAAGTAGCCACAGTGGCGGTATACTCAACAATTTGAATGGGGATCCTCTCCTAGCTCGAAGGTGCGCCAACTGCGACACGACATCTACACCACTTTGGAGAAACGGACCCAGAGGCCCCAAGGTTCGTCTTTGTCTCTGTCTTTCCCTGGTATATCTGCAACAAGCCAACAACTGTACATGTTGTCTTGGTCATGTTCATTATATTCTTTTTACTTTGAAATCTGAATTATGGTTTTCTCTGAAAGTGACTCTATCATTAATGTATATTTTTGGTGCAGTCGCTTTGCAATGCGTGCGGAATCCGTTACAAGAAGGAAGAGAGGAGAGCAACAACCACCACCAATAGCGCTGCTGCCGCTTCTTCTTCAATGGTGATGGACCCACAACACCTAATGAACCACCATCATCATTCATGGGCTCACCACGCGCAGACCCAGAAGGTAGCATCCATATCTCCGGCACTCGGCAACGAATTCAGGTTTATCGAAGACGATGACAGGGATTCCAATACCGGCATTCCTTTCCTTTCTTGGCGTCTAAATGTCCCAGATAGGCCCAGCCTCGTTCATGACTACACATGATGAAGATGATGATGATGCCGACGAAGGTCATCGTATATTCGTTGATTCTGTTGTTTTATTTTCTCCATCTTTATAATATATAGATGGAGTGAAATAGCGATAAATCTATGATGTTGGTTAACTTTTATGAGTTTCTCTTTTTAAACTTTGGTGTCCAAAAAACCTCTGTTTTTTGTTCTTCATTTAGATATCAGCCAACAATCTGTCCTTTCTAGTTTACATAGAGAGTAGTAAGACATGAGAGAACTTAATTACCTTGCCTGATCAGTCCGAAGCCATCTGTTTGTTCTCTTTTCTTACATTACATATTTACATGTAGATGTAGTAGCACTGAGAAATTGAGAGAAAGATAAATCCCTAATATATCCTATCTTTCTTTGAAGAGTTGAAGAGGAAGAAGAGATGGATCTGGGCCTCTGGGGTCTGTCCACAATGATCAGTACTGGTTTAATTGGCATTTTGTGGTATGGTCCTCATAAGCTGCTTTGTTATTAAGCATTGCATATTCGAAGAATCATAACGAGGAGGAGGCCCCCCCGCCCCCACCAAAGCTTGATCATCAAGATTTTACGACTCTCATCATCTCACCCATCTGAAATATGGCGTTGTTCCTTTCAACTTTCCAACAGGCAACACTTCTTCTACGTCTTTGGAATATAAAAACTAAATTATTTTCCTACATGTTCTGAATATAGAAATTTAACCAAGTGGCAAATTTGAATATTTGCTTTAAGAAAAATTATTCACATGGGCCCTACGTGAGGGGGAACTTCTTTTCCTGACGTCAGATTAGAATCTAAGTAAGAGACCATACCCATGACTCCACCTTGCATAGATCGCCTTATCTCCCATCTGCACCAATTCATTGGTTGAAAAGATGCAATAATCAAGTGAGTGAGTTGCTGTGCTACTGTTGGAGCCTTAGTACTTTTCTTTTCTTTTACTCTCTTTATTTCCATTTTAAAGAGTATGGGAGCCACACAAGCCGTATGTAAGTACTTTGGTTTAGAGTTTAGACTTCAGATTCGCATAACTTGTACTTGCCAAATGTACCCATGTTAAAAGACCCGGACCCAACTTTAAACTGGACCCACCTAAAAATTTTGATATGATCAAATGGTTTTTCAACCATCTGATGTATTTGCTATTTTATATATTTATTTATTTATTTAAGTTGCTACTTCCTGCAGTCTTGTTTTTATTTCCCTATTGTTCTCTTCTTATTTTCATTTAATTGTTGTTGCCATCTCTGATATGTTTGTTAATTAGACTTCCTCTATCTGCTTGTGATTGAGTTTTAAGAATTCTTTTAGGCAACTGGGCTAGAAGAGGATGAGCCCATTGGCACCTCAAGAATTTAAGATTTTTAATTGCTTGGATTTTAGCATTAGAACCACAGGAAGCTAAAGTTTTGAAAAACTTCAGAAGCTTCATAAAAAACAGAATGCCTACTTTGGTATATTGATTGATTGATGGCATTCAGCTACGCTTAGCTTATTCTATGTCCACCATATAACTTAAACCTTTTACTTTTAAGAATATTTTATTTGTAGATATATTGTCAATAATATCACAAAAGGAGACTAATTTAGTAATTTGGATGATCTGATAAAGGGGGAGGGGGGAACCTAATTATCAGTCAAAAAGTACACTTTTTTTCGGAAGACAATAGTGCCCCTGCATTTTAAATCTAATCATGATATACACATACAAGCTTATCTTTCACCAACGATGTGCCCAATTTTTCAAAAACAAAAGTTGGGATGTTTCCGAGTCACTATAATAGTCCAAAAAACGCATCAAACAAAAATTAACATCTTCAGCCGCTATTTTGGTTGTTTCCGGCTTTGTTTTTCAGAATACTTTACGATACATCTGTTGTTGTGTAGCCATTTTGCTTAGAGAACAAAAAGATAATTTTTTATACAAACACAGGGTTTTGGGCCTCGGATAATTAATCTATACCAGTCCTGCCACTGGTAATTCATTAATTTGTACCAATAATTTTCTACAAAATGAGATCAACTTGGATCACTGCACCATTTGGACCTTGGACTTGGATTCAATCCCAGTGGGCTTTACCAAACCAAATTGACATGGAGATTGGAGTAGTATTTGTAATAATTAAGGTGCTCTTCTACAAGAGTAACAAAATTTGAGGTATTATCTATTTAAAATAATTATTTTGAGTTGATTAATAAATTTTTGTGAAAGAGATTTTTTTACCTGAAACATTTTGAGTTGATCTAAATATATAAATTAGGGATGGCAATTTTCCCCACCCCCATATGGTGCCTGTCTTCCTTGACCCCATGGGGTGGGAGATGGAGATTGCCTTGAACACCCGATCATCGACTGGTGATGGGGGAGTGAAGTCCCTGCCCCGCCCCAACCCTGATTTTATGTATATTAAATATTATTTATATTATGTATCAAAATTTATTTAAATATTGATACTATTTTAAACAATTTTCTTTTAACTTAAGTAAATCTATTATTCAAAACACTTCTAATTTTAAAAATTCCGGGGATTCATCAAGCCCTCAACAAGGACTTGTTTCAAAGTGGGGGTCGAGGGGAGTCGAGGATGGGGAGTATAATCCCCACCCAGAACCCGCCCCATTACCATTCTTAATGCAAATTATTGTTTTAATCTCAAATGTTAAATTTGATATTTCAACTGCAAATGTCAATGATCAGTTCCACACATACAATTTTCTTATTTTATCTAAAATAAATATATTAAAAATTCGAAAACCACTAATACATTGCCTGTCTCTACTATTTTCAAACACATCCTCCCATATCATTAAACTTGATTCATTTGGAGGATTCCCAAAACATGGAAGTCTGTCTGTCTGAAACACACAGCCCTATTAGCTAAATAGTCACTACGCCAGTTTGCAGTTGGACTTGCTGTATTTTTTATAAAAGTTCCATGATCCTCTGAAAGACATGCATGACCTGCCTATTGCGAGATTTCTTTCCTTTGATGGATTGAATGCATTAAAGCAGATCCGATTCAAGGGTGACGTTCCTGTATCCTTTAACCCATACATTTTTTTAGTTGAATTCAAAGTTCAAACTTTAAAATATCGATGTGTATTGACTCGTATCAATCGATATGTATTGTGTCAATGACTTCTCGAATCTTGATATGCCCCTACAGGAGTTGTGTTGGGTCAGGCCATGGTTCAGAAGGTATAACCGGAACTTAAACCGGTTTTAAAAAATAAATAAATCACCTGTATAGATATTTAGCACTTAGTTGAATCGACCCTTGTATATAATGTGACAACACATTTTTCATTAATTTATAACTTAGCAGGTAGAACATAAATGATACGAAATATGACCCAAATCACTCATTTAATTAAGACATCTCCTAAACAAAAACAACTTTTTTTTTTCTTTTAATGGGATCAAGTAATCAACAATCTACAATCGTTTCAAAGAATTAAACCTGTTTGAGGAAAATGTCTTATAGATGAGATTTCGGACGTACGACAGTGGTAAATCCTTTCAAGAATTGAAGTTTAATTCCTTTTGCTTAACGCAACCAACAACTTAGAATTGCTCAAGAAGCTAAGGTGTTGTATGGTCGAACGTGGTTGGTTAATTTGTTGATCCTCCAACTTGACTCCAAGAGAATACGCAGTTGCTTTTCCTGTTAGTAATTTTTTGATTTGCCAATGAGAGAGAGAGAGAGAAATTCATTTTGAGGGTGAAAAGAACTAAGTAATTCTTTCTTTTGAACATAAGATGACCTACTTTATTCTAGCCACGTGGAGGATTCTTGTGGGCAATCCAGAATAGTCAATAGAATCAGAATCCTTTGAATTGGGTATACCTATTCACCTATTCCAACCCTCAGTTGGAATTTCATTTCAATAACTGTAGTCCCTGTCCTATTCCTAATTTGCCCATAAAAGATTAGCTTAACGTGTATAAGAAAAAAAAAAAAATCATAAGCAGGCGATCAACCACTACCGGTAAAAGAGCTTTGCCAGTTGTCTGATGCAGACAGTCATGTTATGCCCAGTTTCAAATTCCAATGCAAAGAGTTTTTAGGAAGTAGAAGCAGAAACATGTGGACTACATGGGTCACTCTTCACTGATCATATTATATAGCCGCTTGTATTTTATTTTATTTTATTTTTTTTGCACCAGAGCTTAATATTAGTCATGTGATAGAAAATAGACGAAGAAAACAAATTAAAAATTAAAAATATATATATGCACTGTACACACCAAATTTTAGGTATAAATTAAATTCATAATTTTTAAAAATATATAAAAAATCTAATTAAAGAGCTAGCTTCCACTTAATTAATATAATATAAATAATAAGTACTACTTGTTAGTCCTACATAGGATTACTTAGGAAGCTTGATCCCAATATCAACTACTTTATATTTTATTCAAAGTGACGCGATTATATTCCTTGAGCAGTGAACAAAGAAAACTAACCATGCATTTAGAGAAGGAAAAACTAAAATACATGGAGCAGAGACAGTTATCTTTAAAACAAATAATTTTTTAAAATCGAGCTTTCTATTCAGGAATCTAGAGCAGTTAGCTCGATCAGTTTGTTTAATTGCAGTGCAAATTCATTTATATTAGTATAAAATATAAATGAAGGAGAGTGCAAATGAGTGTATTTTAGATTTGATATTTTCTTATTTGTAAGAAATAAAATAACGTGATCCCCACTTTAGAAAGAATTAAAGTAGGAGGAAGATTTTTGTCAAATGCAAATTTGCACTGTTAATGAGTGTAAATTAATAAGACAAAAAAAATGCAAATCAAATATACAAAGTGAATAAATCAGGTGCAAAATTTGTATAACCCAATATATTCAGGTTAATTTGCACTCGAAAAAATAAAATGGGAAACAAAAAAGAGATCCAGTAGTTGTCCACAGTACATGAGACGTGGTGACACGTTGTCCTATGAATTGTTTGATCATCCATAGACACAGATTAGTGATCCAATTCATATTTTTTATTATTAAAAAAAAAGAAAACTAATGAAATACAAAACAAAGAGGTAGAAAGTAGGTTAGGTATTAACATGTTGTCACTTTGGTGCCAAGGACCAAGTCCAACTCCGGCCATGGGAAACCACCCTCCCTCCTTCTCTTTCTCTCTCTCTCTCCACCGACGACTTAAGAGAACGAACAAACATGGTCAAGGTAGGCAGTGCAGTTGATCCAACCACAAGGGAAGGAGATCAATGGCGGGGAATCATTGGGTTCGGATGAATGCCGAGAAACACACTGGTGTAGGGTGGATGGTCTAACTACTGCTACTTATGAAACCCAGACCATACGTCAGATTTCGTGCAAGCAACATTTCACATCCAACGATTTTTCCGAATTGGATAAAAGTACGTATCCCGACCTTGATTGCTACCCAACACCAACCTACTACACTTTTCTTCCGAATTTAATTAAGGTGGCCTCTCTCCCATTCGGCATGCATGTGAGGGGAGGGAGAGAATTTTGAGAATCTTCAGAGAAAGATGGTGAACTTGGTGGCAGCACAGAAGCCATTGTTGCATGGGTTGATGAAGCTCGCGGGGCTCAGGCCCCATACTGTGGAAATCGAGCCTGGAACTAGCATGAACTTCTGGGTTCCATCCGAAACGCTCAATAAGAAAAGTGATGAAGGCGTCAATGATCAGTCGGAGAAGGAGAAGAAGAAGAAGAAGAAAAATAAGAACAAGGCGCAGAAGCCTGTTGTGGTTCTGGTGCATGGGTTCGCCGCTGAAGGTATTGTAACGTGGCAGTTTCAGGTGGGGGCGTTAACGGGGAAGTACAACGTCTACGTCCCCGACCTTCTGTTCTTCGGTGGATCCATCACCAACAGCGACGACCGTTCCCCAACGTTCCAGGCCGAGTGTCTGGTGAAGGGACTGAAGAAGCTAGGAGTGGAGAGGTGTACGGTGGTCGGGTTCAGCTATGGTGGGATGGTGGCGTTCAAGATAGCGGAGTTGCATCCGCACCTGGTTCAGTCTTTGGTGGTGTCTGGGTCAGTCCTGGCCATGACAGACTCGATAAGTGATTCGACTCTGGAGCGACTCGGCTTCTCGTCTTCCTCGGAGTTATTGCTGCCGACATCAGTGAAGGGTCTTAAAGCCCTTCTCTCCGTGGCCGCTTACAAGAAGCTCTGGTTCCCCCATCGTCTTTACAAAGACTATCTCGAGGTTTGCTCCTTTGCCTTTTATTATTTTATCACTTGTATTCTCTCTCACACTCTCAGTCTCACCGGGTAATACAAATCGGTGAGAAATCCGTGTTATATGAGACTCACTTCAACTACAATGATAACTTTCACCCCCACACACTCAATCCATTCACCAGCTAGTAATGCAGGCGTCCTGTGAGTAGGGATGTGGGAAGAGTTTGTGGGTTGAGATTCAAGATCGTAGTTTCTTTAATAATGTTGTCATTCACAACTTTTAGTTTTCTAATATTAGATTTCCCCAAAATTTAATATTATCATGTGGATTTTTTTTGGGATTTTAGAAAAGCCTGTACTTGGGGTTGTACATGGGTCAATTCAATTCAATTGCAAGTTATTTGGCCAACCAAACTATTTACTCGGGCTGATGAATAAACCACCTGAAACCGATCAAACATGAGTAAAAATTGACCTAAACATGAATTGGTTTGGGCAGGTTTCTCAGTTTGGTTGAATAGGTCCAAACTATTAAAATGTGAGATTTCTTTTTGAAATCGTACGAGTTTTAATGCATTCTTGGGACGTGTGTGAGAGAGAGAGAGAGAGGGAGGCAAATTGTAAACATACAACTTTAATGCACTGTTGAGACATTTGTGTGTATCTGTGAGAGAGAAGAAGAAAAAAGAAGAGCCAATTGGATTTCCTAAATAGTTATTACTTAATAGGTAATAACTATTAGCCTATTTCTGTTCACTAGCTAATTAACTAAGATATGTACATAGCTATTTAGATATTATATTAAATATAGGTGAGTCGGGTCGGTCTTTTCAATTTGCATACTTATAGACCGAAATCGGCTTGACCATTCAGTTTGTTACGTTCCTTAAACGAAAACTGACCAATAACCAAAAACCAGCCAAATCAGGTTTAAGTTGGGTCAATTTGGTCGATTTGGTGCAACGCATGAACAACCCTACCTATAGGGCACAATTTTGAACTATAACATTTTTCCAATTGGGATATTGATCCCTTCCTTTCAACCATATCTCCTCTACTTTCTGGCATTGGAATGGTGAAAGCAATTGACGTAGAATTAGTAAACTAAAAAGGCAAAGTTAGAAGCAATCAGTCTTAGGGTACTCGTATCTTGACACCTAGACCTGTTCATGGGCTGGGCTTCAGGCTCGGTTCATGAACATTACACTGCCTCGGGCACAGGCTTAAGGCCGGGCCCAATCAAACTTTGACAAATGTTTTTTTTCCTGGAAAACACAGAAGAATTCATTATCATGGATAGGAGAAACTGTGCTAAAAGCAAAGCTAGTTACACCAGCACATCAAGTGTGAGTTTTTTTTTTTCCGAAAAAGAAAGGTGTATGAAGTTCCTTGTCGAACAGCCCACCAGAGATCTGGCCTCGGAGGCTTCGGATATTATTTTAAGTTTGTCCATGATAGAGTGTATTTTGGGGTAACTACTGATACGGTCAGCTACAAAATTAAGCTGCCTGCTACCCAAATCACTTGTATATTAGAACCTATGACTCGTTAAAATTCTTTTATTGATATATCTTCCCTCAAAATTATCCTGCCTTTAAAAGAAACACCCCAAATCACTTCTAGTTAGGCCATTGAGAATTCTATTCCAATTCTTTATTTTTGGTCCGAAGAGAACCCTTAAGACTTGATCATCATACACTGGTGAAAGTTACCAACTTTGCATCTTTCTCATCAGCACTATAAGTCTCATAATTGAACTTGCATTTACTACACTTGGTATCTTTCATATTACTCTGGGAAAACGTGTACCCATACCAACTGATGTGTGGAGTACGTTGGAATAACAAGCAGGTGATGTTCACAAACAGAAAGGAGAGATCTGAACTCTTGGAAGCTTTGGTCAGCAGCAACAAGGACATCACTACTGTTCCTAATTTCTCACAGGTATGTACGTATATAAATGGATCTTGTGCTCAAGGTTGCATCACTCAAATTTGTTTTCCAGGTTCAAGCTTTTCCTGTTTTGCTCTTTGCAGAGCATACATCTCCTATGGGGGGAGAACGACCAAATTTTCAACCTCGAGCTTGCAAAAGCATTGAAAGAGTATGTCCTAAGCCTTAAGAACGCTTTGTCTTTGTATATATCCTTCACTACAATCCTACTGTAATCATTACCATAGAGTCGCTAATAGAGTTCAGTTGGTGAATTGCCTCTTGAATGAACTCTAAGCCTGTGCTCTATCTCTATGATCAAATTTCGTCCAGCAGTGGATCAGAAATCCACAGCCAACCTACAATCTTACCTCTTGCTCAGATTTGATTCATTGAATGGCATAAAACAGTTCAGAGGGTGCCCAATTGTGCAATTTTTGCTGGTATATATAACTTGGTCTGGAGAATAATCGTGCCCCATGTGATTACAGGAAGCTGGGAAACAAGGCTTCATTGCATAGCATAAAGAAGGCAGGTCACCTGGTTCATCTGGAGCGGCCTTGTGCCTACAACAGGCACCTCAAAAGAATCCTTGCCTCCGTGCAGGCAGATGGAGACAAATAAGGAGGATTCACTTATCCGTCTTTTAACACTGTCGACATGTTTTACTAGTGTATTATTTATATGCAGTCTAAGAAACTTGGTAACCTCACGTTACTTGAAGAAATAGAGGTTACTGTGAAATTTATTTGGATGAATTTTAATAAAAAAAAATGACAGGCTGATTGTTATACCTGGAAACACTGCTCATGATACAAACGGACAACAGAGCTGGATCATAAAACTAGCCAATCAAACTCACAGCAGTTGATGTAAGAGAGAGCCGCTTTATCCCAATCTGCGACAAAATTTGCTTTTACAGTGTGTCAAGTACAGGAATTCAAAACCCAGATCTTCCAGCAAAAACTCATCTGAATGACCACTGGATTTCCTCCAAAGTTCTCCCTTTGGTCTCAGGGACCCATAGTACTACGAAGACTATGGTGAAAGCACTCACAACCGTGTAAATGGTGAAGGTTCCTGTTGAGAATGAAGCATCATTTCAGTTCATATATGTATGCATGTGTGCACGTGTAAAAGATCAAGTGGAGAGAGAGATAGAGAGAGAAACCTCCACTGCTCCAACTTAGAAGCAAGTTTGCAGTCATTGTTATCACCCAGGATGTAAGCCAGTTGGCTAAAGTTGCAACACTGCCAGCAAGACCCTTAATATTCACTGGAAGTATCTGCCATGTCATATTCAAGATATACACGTTGCTTAAAAGATTTTTCTAAATCAAGAAAAGATGGTAATTATGAATCAACATTAGCTAGATTAGTTGGCAAAGGCTGTATGGTTGTGACCACCAATAATTTAGACCTGAACTTTAAGAGCTGAGACCTGCCTTTTTAGCAATTAATTACTTAGGGCTCAGTTTAGGAGTACAAATGCAAATACATACAAAATATAAGGTTTTACACTCTACAAATTTGCATTTGTACTCCTTCCAAACTGAGCCTAAGTAGAGATGTGCAACTTGGTGAACGCTACTTGAGCCTAATCTAGCCTGGAAAATCAAACCTGCAAGGCTGCAACCAAGGTTGGGCTTGAATTGAGGCCGCAGGTTGCCCAAGCCCATCCTGAGCCCACCCAATATTTTATACCATTTATAATATGTATCACCAAGTACACTACATATAAATATAGTTATATATAATGACTATGTATCAACATTTTGCAAAATAATACACAAATAATATTTACTGGTACTTGGCCCAAGCCAATGCACAGATATACTGATATACACTACATACTCTTAAGCAAAAATCTTCTCATATAGAAACAGCATCAAGTAATTAGTAGCATCTTGCTTTCTAAGACAATTTTGTTCATCCATCTTAGTAGTATAACTATTGCTTCTCCTTGCCATTCTTTTCTCTTTTAAGTGAATAATGCATTAACAATCACCTGATTTATTAGTATAGAAATTGATTGCCTTCATAAATTTGTATTAGAATTTCCCCCCGCTTAAAAAGCATATTAAATGCTATTACGTTAATAGTCCTAATTTTCCCCTTTAACTTTTAAGTGTCACTATTTTTCTACACCTTTTATTTTGGATAAATATGATTTTAGTTCATAAATTTCCAAAAGTAAAAAATGGTCATCAGGTTCCTCAGATTCCTGACAAATGGAGACTGTTAAGACACAAATAAGTGGAACAGAGGGACAAGTGTACAAGAAAAGGCCACGTCAGCCTTTAAGTAATGTAACTGAAAGCCAACCACTTGAACAAACTACATAACAAACGGGACAAGTGGAGAGGCTGATATAACAGAATTATAACTGAGTGTTATAAATAAAGAAAGGAAGTCCAGAAGAGCAGCATTGATTCTGGGAATTCAGTCTCTCTCTCTCTCATTTCAGGAGGCAGGTTTCCTCGAAAAGCCCTGAGTTAGGCAGTTACTTAACAGAGACCTTAACCTGTATGTATGTATGTATAATACCACTCACTCAGCTCGAGCCCACCACTATATATGTGCATCTAATGATATGCAATATATTTTTCGTTTCATTTTCTAAATTGGACTATAAAACTGAAATGTAAAACAAAATTCCAAATACATAGCAAAAGATAAATCCTGAATCCCAAACTACCCATGCAGGACGAGCATAGCCAAATTGGGTAGGATTTAGTGCTGACTTAGGATCATTAGGCTTTGGCTGGCCAGTTGGGGTTGGACCTGGCCTCTGGGCTAAAGGCTAATTGGGCCTGAGTTGGCTATAAACCCAGCCTGACCTGCCTATTGCAGCTCTATCAGTAGGCACCCCCCCCCCTCCATCCCCTACCCTAAATAAATAAATAACGAGAAGTAAATATAGATACACTACAGGAAATAACTGTACAAAAAAAAAGAAAAACGATAAAGGTATAATGTCTGCTAAGTGTAGGTTCTTTTATTAGTGATACAAAAGGGCTATTTATCTAACAAGAAAAGTTCCATCATCTTGAGCTCCATTTTGTGATCCTGATCTCACCACATTGAATACATGTCTATAGCTAGGTTCAGTTTGTGCTCAAGTGTGCACTCAGTGATTTAAAAGGCGTGCCTAGGTGCACAGGCGAGGTTTAGGGTATGCTCCTCGTCTAGGTCCTATGTGCAGCACTTTCAAAAGGTGTATGCCTGGTGCGCCTAGGCATGTGCACCTTGCACCTCATTCCAGGAGTGCACCTTTTTAAATTTCAACGCTTTTTTTTAACCTAGCAGTTGGGCCAGGGGCAGGACCCCCAACCAAGCTCATCAAAGCTCCGAGAACCCCCTATTTTCTAATGTCATTCATTCATTCATCCTAATAAAATATCTTCCTAAAAGGCAACTAAAAATATAAAATCGTTATTTTTTGTGTGAGAATTAAGAATTTCAGACCATAACATGGACTTGTTTGGGCTTGCCTTGAGGGGCTTGATGCGAAGGCGGCTTATAGAATCAGAAATGCAATATGTTTTACATCACATTAGCTACTTAAAGTAATGCAATTGAGGAAAAAAAAAAAGAGATTGTGGGTTTTACATGCTTGAAAATGTTTTTTGTGTTTGATTTTATTTTTAAATTTTCATTTGAATATGCTTTACATGTTATGTTTATGTATTTTAATTCTAAATAATAGTTTTTTAAAACACTTATTTTAATATTTAAGTCTACATTTTTTATTAATATTGTGTTTTTTTTTAATTTTTTTTGGCTTTTTTTTTTGTATTTTTGCAAGCATGCGCCTCGCCTTGCGCCTTGCACCTCAGGCGCAAATTGCCCTTGCACTTTTTTTGTGCTGTGCACTTTTAAAATACTGCGCACTATAAACTAATAGGCATTCGAAGTTCCAAACTACTTGGACATAATGATGTATTACATTTTGTACAGAACACTGATGTGGGCCCCACAGCTACGGTCCCACTGTGTTCATAGGGTAGAAGGTGTTCTAGTCTTCCTAGGGTTAGCTATTGGTCATTTAGTTGTTTCAGTTATTTATTTCAGTCTTATTTTTGCTCTATTTGTTATGTAA